ATAAATGTTTCATATGGGTTTTATTACATTAAAAGATATATGGTACTCAGGCCTGAAACATTCAATGTAATAAAAACCCCACAAGGAAAAAACGTTTGTGAGCAGTATCTATTTTGTTGTTTCATTTATGTATTAGTCACCGTATTTTTTTGGATCATTTTGCTGGAGCAAAACCATGAAAAGTCTTTGTTATTTCATTTCTAAAATAGTGATGTTCATGTTCGTTTCAAGGTCGCTAATTACATCAATCAACGTGGCGTTATTCGTTTTACAGTCGTTGATGATCAAATCTTGTTTGTTTTAGAGTTACTAGTTTGGCAACATATCTCTGTGACTAGTTTCGGCGATTAATTTGGTGAGGTAAATTAAGTTTGGCATTTTTTACAGTTAAAAATATATAGTTGACAGCAACTACGAAACAAACACCATTTAGGGCTTGATTGGTTCTCCCGCTAGCACCCTTCTAGCGGTTGCTAGCGGTCGGTTGCGGTTGTTAGCGGTTGGAACCAATCATAGAAACTGCTTCGTCCCGCTTTGAACCGTTCGAAATCGCTGAATTTCAAAAGCTCCTTCCCGCAAGCGTTTGCGGTTGCGGGCGGTAGCGGTTGGATTAAAAAACAAAAAAATCAAACATTTACTTATAATTATTATAATATATATTAATCATATATATCTTTCATCTTTGTATCACGTTCTCATCAGAAACCCTAATAATATTCTGAAACTCTATTCTCTCAATGTCTTCCACCCAAACTGATGAAAATCAATAACCAAATGTAAGTATCATATATCCTTTTATTCTTTCATCACCTCATGTGTAACTTTTTGAATATTTTTCATGGCATCGTTTTTTTTTTATTTTCATTACGTATTGCTTTGCTTTTTGATTGAATATATGTTTCGATTTGTTTTCTCGAATAGAAACTCACTTGCTTTTTGATTGAATTCAACGTTATTTACAGTTTTTCTCATTACTTAATGCAATTTTTTATGTTAAACCAGATGAATAAAGTACTCTCTTATTACAAAATTTCTTTATTTTTGAATAATTATTTAGTACTTTATTTATGGTTTTAATTATTAAGCATGTTCAAAATTTTCTAATATTATCATAATAATATATTGGTGTTTTTATTTCTTTTTTTTTGTATTATTTTTTTATTTATTTTGGTCATTCTTTTATTTAACTGCTATCGCACCCGCTGGTTTACCAGTCATAAAATTTTCGCAAACGCTCCTATTTTCAAACGCTAAACCAGTCGTTCAAAACGCTTGATAACGCTTAAAGCCGCAACCGCCCGCATCCGCAAACTCCTGCAACCGCAATCGCAACCGCTGCGTTTAAACCAGTCATGCCCTTAATCGTTGTAATCTGTTATGCTATAAACAAGTTAATTGTTATGCTATAAAACATGTTAGCGCATGATTTTTTTTTTTTTTTTATAATCCAGGTATCCGGGCCGAAACCCGACTAGCACCAAGGCTTGAGGCCGGTTCCTTTTTCGGGCCGTCCGAGCCCAACGTTTAGTGTGTTTCCTGGAGGCCCGAGGGGGCCAGGTGAAAACCTCGGTAGCCAACGGGAATCGAACTGCGGACACTATATTGGGATTACCCCTCAAGTACCACTAGCCCAATCCACGTTGGTTAACGCATACTGAAGCAATTATATTTAAAATGATCTATTATGCATATTTCGTGGACTGACCAAGACACAAAGAAGAATTCTATCGCGGAAAACGTTACAACTTTTTCTTAGGATTAGGTTAGTACCACTTAAAATTTAATAAAGTGTACAAAAGTTATAAGTTAAGTAACTCACTTTTTTTCCACAACCAAGTGGAGATTATACATATCAATATACATTGCATTATGGATGAATGTGATGTCAGTATGAATCTTTGGTAGTTAATCGCAGATTGTGATATACGTTTGACCTAGCTTAGCCATCGAACTTGATTTTGAAGAAATCTTAAGATCAACGAAAAAAAAAATCTCAAGTGGCTTGGTAACTAAAATATAAATAATAGTTGCGTATACGTGTACATACGTATAAACATACGTATATACGGAAGTCAAAAGCTTCGATATTAACTACACGCCAACCCTCAAAATAATTTCAGTACATGCAAGCTAAAATTATTACAATCCTCAGGTGATTATTAATCAGGTGATTATTAATCAGGTGATTGAGCTTAAAATTAAATTGTTAAGAACTTTACTTGAATGATATTGGGTTATTAACATAGATCACAAATAGTAAACAAAAACAAACACTAGTCTTAAAGACCAACAAGTTGTCTAAATTAAAGTAAAGATCAAGGGGGACTGGGGGAGATTTTGTATTCTGTCTCAATCCACAGTTTTCAACATTTGGTTTGTGTTCAAATATGTTTTCATGCTTTTTAGGAAAATTGATATTATAATTAGACAATAATGGTCTAAAAGTTTACTAAAACCGTGTTTCTGGTGGTAATTAATTAACAAGTAACAACCATCCGATGATTTATAAATGCCCCCTATGAAACTATGAATTTATATATTACTACATGGTTATGTGCTGGATCATGTTAACGGAGTCAAAACTTGTGTCGAAGAAACGAGGTCATTGTCTACGACATACTTATTAAATAAATAACTAAAAGACTATTTGTTAATTTTATAAGTCATATTCGTGTACTTTTTCAACTGTGCTACTAAGAGCATGTTTATTGGTGAGTTTGGGTGGGTTTTACCTCATTAAAAAAATGAAAAAAAAAAAAAAAATTTGGACAGAAAATGGGTTGGATCGTATCAGTCCATTGAGTTTTCTGGATCGGTTCAGTTCCACAGATGTCACCTTCTGAGTGGAGGAAACAAAATTAATCGGGAAGGATGACTAGCTCTGATCAATCTCCGTCGCACAACGTCTTCGTCTACGGCAGTTTCAAAGAACCAGCCGTCGTAAGTTTGATTCTTGAATGTTCTCCGGTCATCGTCTCCGCTCAACTCCACGGCTAGTTAGTCGTCTCTCTTCACTTCTCCGATCTTATCTTCCTTCTGCTTAGATTTTTTCAAGATTGATAAAATCTGATTTCTGGGTTTTTTGCAGTCACTTGTATAGACTCAAAGGACGTTTGCATCCATGTATTTCTCCTTCTGAGAATGGAGTAATCAACGGCAAGGTTTTGATTCCATCTCCTTCTTTTACAAGAAAAATTAGGGGTTTGAATCAAAAAATTGAGGTTTTCTTGTTTTAGTCATTTTAATTTCTGAAGCTGTAAACATTGTTTCTTGATTTGGTTGATTCAACATGTGGATCACAAAACCTGAAGTTAAGGGGTTGATGTTTTGGTGTAGATACTAACTGGATTAACAGATGCTCAGTTAGAGAATTTAGATATGATTGAACCGTTGTTCTGAGTTAACTTGGAATTTTATGTATCTGAGTTCTTGCTCTGCTTCACAATGTCGATTCAATTGAAGTTTATTTGATTGGAATTGCACTTGGTTGATTTGGAATTGCACTTGGTTGATTTGGGCCGTTGTCTTCTTACTCATATTCCTCTTGTTCTTTTTAGTTTTTACTTCATGATCACGATTCAGTGTTTAAGACTTGGTTTTGCTTCTTAATCATATTCTTCCTCTTCTATTAGCTTTCACTATATATTCACGATTTAGTGTTAAAAGACTTGATTTTGCTTCTCTTAACACGCTAGATCAAAGATGGGATTCCATGCTTGGTTCCAAAGGATGGAAAAATACTTGAGGAGGAAAGTGGGACATCAAAAGCTTAATGACTTTTGCTTTTACACCAAAAATATAAAATGATCAGAGTGAAAAGGTAACAACTTGTATCTGCAGCGACTTATCAATGGTTCTTTCTGTCTTCACATTTTAGACTTGTGAGCACTTTTAAGTTTGAAGTTTTAATGGGAACATTGATGTAAGAAATTGAAAGTCAATAGAGGTGTAGTTGCAGGTGAATGTAACTACCTTTTCTTCTTATGTTTCTTGAAGTCTAGGATTCTTATTAACTGGAATGAAAGTAAAAGTAGTATGATTTAAGTATAGGATTCTTGTTTACAAGTTAAGCAAAGTAGGACAAGCCATTGAGAACAATGATTTTTTTTATTTTAATTTCTAAAAGTAAATTATAATTTTTTTATTTTATTTTAGTGATACCCATTGAGTTTCACCATTAAACATACAAATTTAACAAAAAAATTTTTAAGTATCATAGATTAAACAACTAATTAAATTAATACTAAAAAAATTCTAATGATACTCAATGGGGTTTATTGATAAACGTGCTCTAACACATGTAGCTCGAGAGTTCATATCCCAATATTGTCATTAATGATTTATTCAGGAGTTACAATGCTTTTTGGCTTACATAATTTTTTCAAAAGCAACTTTTTTGGCTTGAAATATTTTTGTTGAGATTTTAGTTTGGATATGTTATTAGAAGTGTTTATATTTTAGCCAAAGTGGATACACAGAAATTAGAAAACTGTAGATGCATAATAATTATTATGGTACAAAGAACATTCTTTGCTAATTCTGACCTTCTCTACCAAACCAACGAAAGTCAAATCAATGCTCCCCTGTCACCCAATATATCAAAAACTTATCAATCATATCACATTTGAATTAATCATCTTTATAAAATATTAATAAACATGAACACACTATAAACTTTTTTTTTTTTTTTTTTTTTTGGTGCACCGAACACACTATAAACAAAGACTGACTCTTTAATGGTAACCATTCACATCTACAATTATTTTCCAACATCAAAATATAACTTTTCAAAGGAAGTGGTTACACCCATTGTCTATACATATGCAACATAATACTCCCATTTCCAAAACACAAAATTCTCTCATCAGTCATCACTCATGAGAGAAGAAACCTT